TAATCTCTGCCAAGGCTTATCCTTTGTATCTACCATGAAGTAGTAAGTGAGGTTGTGTGTATGAAACTGAAACTGTTGGCAATTTCAGATTTACAGGTATTTTGCACTTACGTATATATGTAGGTTTCCACCAATGGGGTGTCAGGTTTTGTTTTATTTCTGTTTCTATAAGACATGTGGTTAACCTTGTGAACCTTGTTTCTTTTTGGATGACGAGGAGATATGCGAATCCGGTAGGTAACTGAAGCCAATGCACAGTATAATATCGACTCGTGTCGCAACAATTCTCGAACACCCAGTTTCACAGCTACTCATGACGCTAGCCATGTGAGCAACTTTGTAAACCAAGTGTCACTCGTTCGTGAAAATACTCGCCTAGTTGACTCTGACTCCAGATGTCAAAACCAGTTGACAATCGAAGAGGAAGAGAAAACAAATTATTCACATCACTTCCAGGTGATTTAGTTTCTGCAAAGACATTTTCTATGCTTGATGAAGCAGTAAGCAGTGTTCCCGAAGCAACGCTGGAACTAGTCACTTGAGCCACGGAAGAGCAAAGGTTGTTTGAAGCCTTATCATGTACTGAACGGATTGAATCGGAAGTACTTGTGCCAGTCACAGTGGAAGTGCATATAGACTGCAAACCATCTGAATTGTTGGACAACTGACATCTGGAGTCTGTCTGTCTGTCTGTTTTCGACATAGACTTTATACCCAAGTAATCCTTTTTATTGATATAACTCGTCACTGGATTTTTGGTAATATATTGTCATTTAACATTTCATTGACTTGGATTATTATTCTCATATTTGTAGTATTAGTGAACTCTCGTAACAGTCCCCTACGGATGTCTGTTTCTTCTCGCTCTCGTACTATTTTATTATTTGAAGTGTTGACCATACTGTTTTTCTCTACACTGATTTCTGTCCTTCCTAAATGTGTTTGTAGTCATGCTTCAGTGAGTCGTCAGTCACCCAGATGACAGATGTTTGACAGAGATGTGGACAACGGCAGTCTTCTTGACATTTTGATTAAATACTATCAAACGTAGAGATGTGTTGACACTTACTAGGCCTTCAGGTGTTTGGCGTTCGCTGTCTATTGAAACCACAAGATGACCAATGTATAGGAGATGAATGGCGAGTAGGTAAGACGAATTATCCAGTGAAGGTGAAGTGTTAATGCAAGTGGATGCAACTACAAATGGTTGTGTATTTTGTAAGGTGTTCGAATCAGTAGTAGTCGAAAGATTAAAAGCTGTTCAGCAGTCACAGATTTTAGAACATGCAATAGACTACGAGCCGAAACTAGACTATTATTTTTTTGAAGGCATAACCCTCTGAAAGTTCCATGAATATAGAGATACTCAACTACATGTGATTTTGTCGTTGTATTGTTTTGCCACTTTTAGATGATCCAGTTACTTCATGTCGCCAGGTGACTTCATTGTACCAAAAAGCTCTTCAGATGACAATAGTCTTCCACTGCTAATCAAACCGGAACCTGTTGTTTCATTGTGCATTGGCTTCGAATGAACGAACAGGTTCCGGTTTGATTAGGAGTGGAAGACTATTGTCATCTGAAGAGCTTTTTGGTACAATGAAGTCACCTGGCGACATGAAGTAACTGGATCATCTAAATGTAATACAACGACAAAATCACATGTAGTTGAGTATCTCTATATTCATGGAACTTTCAGAGGGTTATGCCTTCAAAAAAATAATAGTCTAGTTTCGGCTCGTAGTCTATTGCATGTTCTAAAATCTGTGACTGCTGAACAGCTTTTAATCTTTCGACTACTACTGATTCGAACACCTTACAAAATACACAACCATTTGTAGTTGCATCCACTTGCATTAACACTTCACCTTCACTGGATAATTCGTCTTACCTACTCGCCATTCATCTCCTATACATTGGTCATCTTGTGGTTTCAATAGACAGCGAACGCCAAACACCTGAAGGCCTAGTAAGTGTCAACACATCTCTACGTTTGATAGTATTTAATCAAAATGTCAAGAAGACTGCCGTTGTCCACATCTCTGTCAAACATCTGTCATCTGGGTGACTGACGACTCACTGAAGCATGACTACAAACACATTTAGGAAGGACAGAAATCAGTGTAGAGAAAAACAGTATGGTCAACACTTCAAATAATAAAATAGTACGAGAGCGAGAAGAAACAGACATCCGTAGGGGACTGTTACGAGAGTTCACTAATACTACAAATATGAGAATAATAATCCAAGTCAATGAAATGTTAAATGACAATATATTACCAAAAATCCAGTGACGAGTTATATCAATAAAAAGGATTACTTGGGTATAAAGTCTATGTCGAAACAGACAGACAGACAGACAGACTCCAGATGTCAGTTGTCCAACAATTCAGATGGTTTGCAGTCTATATGCACTTCCACTGTGACTGGCACAAGTACTTCCGATTCAATCCGTTCAGTACATGATAAGGCTTCAAACAACCTTTGCTCTTCCGTGGCTCAAGTGACTAGTTCCAGCGTTGCTTCGGGAACACTGCTTACTGCTTCATCAAGCATAGAAAATGTCTTTGCAGAAACTAAATCACCTGGAAGTGATGTGAATAATTTGTTTTCTCTTCCTCTTCGATTGTCAACTGGTTTTGTTGGTGTTTCGCACATTGAAAATCCTGTGTTTCATGAATTTATCAACGAGAAGTGTAATAGACTACGATATCCTCCTCAGTTGGCTTTGGAAATGTGGCAATTGTATTCATCATCGAATTTGCCTGTGGTATCGACCGACAAGCCTCCTATTTCGTGTGGTCAATATAAAAGTTCATCCTGCGGCACTCAACAACCGGATCGTGGGTGCTTGAAAACAGATGATAGTCATTTCAGTGTTAGTTTTTCGTGTGTACCTGTCAAATCCAATACCGTGATAGTGCATAACAAAAGTCGCCTTCGTACGAAAGCTCAAATGCGTGAAGTAAGCACGATAAAGGAGAGAACATCAGAGAAGATTAAGTTAGAAAATTGTAACAATAAGTGTAGGCAATCAGAAGGCTGTTTATCAGACAAAGAAAATACCAATGTATCAAATTCTGAGGTGGTAATCGTGTCTGTAAGTTAGAAGTTGTATTTATTTTTCATTCGCCTTCGTCATAGCTTACATTCTGCTGATTGATGCTTGTGATATGATATGATAGGTTGAACGTTGGTTAAAGGTGTGAATCTGGTGAATAGGCTGTAATTGATTCCACTCACTCTCCCTTTTAGTTAAATTTGTTTGAATGAAGTTCTCAATGAAAACTAAATTACTGGTTTTCAGTATAATCTCTGCCAAGGCTTATCCTTTGTATCTACCATGAAGTAGTAAGTGAGGTTGTGTGTATGAAACTGAAACTGTTGGCAATTTCAGATTTACAGGTATTTTGCACTTACGTATATATGTAGGTTTCCACCAATGGGGTATCAGGTTTTGTTTTATTTCTGTTTCTATAAGACATGTGGTTAACCTTGTGAACCTTGTTTCTTTTTGGATGACGAGGAGATATGCGAATCCGGTAGGTAACTGAATATTTTTACCAATTGTTTATAACCCATTTGATTTTATTATACGTCTGGGAGTTGCTTACACTAGGGTGAAGATAACAGTGATAGGACTCACGGTAGTGTTACGATAATTCGAGTGGAGCTTCTCAGAGGATGTTTTCAGATATTCTCTTGAAGCTTGTGGTGTGCTGAATAAAGCTTGTTGTAGACAGCAGAAAGCTATTGGACAGCTCGAGATACCCAACTTGCTTGACTCATTCTCATCCAAATTTCATTGTATGAAGATTCTATTATTTTTACTTGTTAATTTATTCTGCTTTAAGTTGACATTATTTCATAGTGAGACTATCGTCGTGACGGCGTGAGAGATGGTCCATTTCGGCACGGCGAGATTGTAGAAGTGCAGTGTTTTTGAGTTACTACACTTCATAACAGTGTCAGTCACTAAAATAATAAAAATATTGAAAAAATAAGTCAGCAGAGTCTGTTGAAATGCTGACACTGTTGGATATCACAAAGGGTAAATACAATGCGTCGTGCAGATTGTCCGTCATCACTAGTTGTTGAAGTGTTTACTGCTGAAGCTGAGGTACGTATATGGTTTGAACCTACATCTCGAGACTACTGCATGGTGTGGTGAGTACCTTGGTTCAACCACCTTTTGTTTCCCTACAGTCTAACACTACTTCAGGTAACATTCATGGGTAGATGGTAGTGAGCAGAAGATTTCAACCACCTCAGTTACCTTGGGCCTAGGGCCGCATCAGTGTATCCTGTATGTATACAGGTCATTTTGGATAAACACTTCTAATGTGATGTGTCTCCCTGTAACCAGAATACACATTGAAGAAACTTATTGACCAAAGCATTTTGTCACTCACATTCTTTGTGTTTAATCAGCGATTTCATGTAGTTATCTGTCTCCTACTCTGACAAAGTTTCCCTCTTGCTAAATTGTTTTGTGTACGTAACTTTGAAATTATTTTTGTGGTCTGACAACAATGTTCTATGAGAGTTCAAATGTGGTGGATTAATCTTAATCTGTAAAGATTTTATTGCATCATTGCTGGTGTCCACCTTCGAATTGGATGATTTTATACCCATAAATAAATGATCGTAAGAAAATTTGAGTAGTGTTTTGAGCAGGAGGATTTTGGAATTAACAATTTCCAGTTGGTGTTTTCGTTACACTGTAGTAACGTAGAAACATCCTGAAACTGTTCATTAGCGATGATGACGTTTTACTCTGAGATGCTGTGTCATTATTGTAACTGTTGGTGTGTCTCTTCTGACTTTACAGTATCGTATTTTGTAATGATTTATCAGAATGAGCTTTAATACTCTTCCGAGTGTTCACCTAATCTAGTTTATCATAAATTGCATGTGAAAAGTCGAGCTGTCTACAGAGTAATTTATAACTGTAAACCTTCAATTCTTTTTAAATTGTGATTGAATTGTTTCAGCTGAAGCACGCATGAAAGTTCGTCTGCAGTGAGAAGAAATAAGCGTGGTAAGCGTTCTGGACGTTTTCAGAGTAGTTGTGAAAAGCGAAGAAGACTATCGTATTCTACAGCATCCAGGTGACAGCCTACGACTGCATCTGTAAGTAAATATTTATTAGTTCTTTTGAGACTTGATATACAGTATGTTAAGCGTAAATGAGTACTGAGTTTGTTTCTGTTGTTGAACAATCTGATTTATTCTTATCTACTATTTTGAATCATGTATATGAGTTTCCTATGTGACAATGTTTATGTTATTGTATTAATCTGCTGAGGATTATGCTGAAGTCTGTTGAAGTTCTCTACATCATATGGGGTTATTATGGATGTTTTAACTTCCTTTTTTTCTATTATTGTGTGCAGTTTTAGTAGCTCATCTGTTTCTGAACCCTATCCAAGTAAGTAATCTAGAGGTTGGCTGTACTGCAGCATTGCTATGTGATCATATAGAATCACAAAGTGGTGGCTATAAATGCCTGTTTAGCAGAAAGGAGTGAGGTATTGATGATAGCAGCCGCTTTGTTTATCGGATCAACTGATGGAGAATACGCGCAGAGTCACGTCGTTAAATGCTCTATTTGGACAAGTCTCACCGCTAGGGTGGTGGTACAGGGGTGAACCTGAATTCCAAGAATAGGTCTAAAGCGGGTATAGTTACATTTGTAATATTACTGTGAACGGTATATATTTTGTGTTTAAGAGGTCATGCGCTTAAATGACGCTGTTTCATTATGGAATGTATGTTGAATGTCGAAGACAAGAGATTTGGTAAGGGAATGTTTATTAGGAATTTGGTGTGTCTATATAGCGGAATTATGTTCCCTTTATCTGCAAACGGTGATTCACACAGATCTTCTGTGTTGCTCTACTTCTGCCCCACTTCGTATTGTGCTTTTTGTCTTCTTTTCGTGTCTCCCATGTTTTATCGCGACACTGAATCATTTGCTCTCCTTGACGTCAAATCTCTCTCTCTCTCTCCACTATTTGATAATTTTAACTTGGTGAACGTCTCTCTATATACTTAATTTAATTTTTTTTTTTGATTACAGCTTGATTCCACACCGTATTTTTGGTACAAGTGTGGAATTTTCAGCGTGGATATCGGTAGCCCAAAATTCGCAGGCCGACCATAGATATCAAGTGTGCGTCGGCGTGGGCTCGAACCCCGGACCATGTGCATGGTCGGCGAGAGTCCTAACCACTGTGCCACCGACGCACTATATACTACTGGTAAATTTCATCAGCAACACACGCCACATTCTTAAGTCCCGTTCAACAACAAAATGTGAATGCAGACTTCCTCAACGACTTTGTATTCAGTCTGTTAACTAATAGGTGTTTTTCATTTCTCGATAACTTCGTGATCAGGTTCTACGGTTATATATCCAAGATAATGAGAGAATGATTGTTATTGGCAACAGTGTTTTTTATGGGTGACAAGGAATCATTAACATCAGAATCGCAAAATTTATTTTCAAATAGATTGTTATAAAAGATCATAGTGCGAAATATATGTATGTGATAATAGGTATAATTGTACCACTAAATGGAACACCAATATTACGAAGTAAATGATTATGAATGACAAGGCCGATATAAATATATGAGTGAATTGTCGTGAGTCATGTTCATATTAAATTCTACTCATATTAGTTATAAACTTCAGGTGAAGAATGATCATTGTTAAGGACGGTAGAGGTGTGAGTGGGATAAGAAATTTGCGGTAGAAGGTTTTGTGCGTTGTGTGTGTGTGTGTAAGTTGACCACTGAGTATAATTCGGAAATCAAAAGTTTAGTACATTTGCAGTAACGAGGGGTAGGGGAATTTAAGTGTATACGAAGGAGGACCGTATAAAAACAGGTCTATTCAATAAGGTATTCGGGAATTTGCAGACTCCACAGCAGGCTAGTGCAGTGATAGTGGTTTCTTAATGATATAAGTATAAAACTTGGGCACTGTGATGGCACAGTGGTTAGGACTCTCGCTGACTATGCACATCGTCCGAGGTTTGATTCCCTGCCGACGGACACGCGATATCTATGGTCGGCCTGCAAAAATTGGGCTAGCGATATCACATGCTGAAAATTCCATACTTGTAAAAAATACAGTGTGGAGTCAAGCTGTAATCAAAATAAAAAAATATAACTTCATTATGCATAAGATTTTATTTTGATAAATCACACAGTGTTGTACAGTTATATTAACTGATGACGTTTTGAGCACAAACTATTACTCATAATCATCTGAAGTTACACAACTTTTTTCTTTCACTTATATACATGTGTGGAATCGATTAGATATTGGATTAAAAATCATTGTGAGACAATGTGCATTCAGAAATAATAGTACGAGTGTTATTGACCCATTACAATTATATGGGAAATACGAGTGTTTTATAGTCATAATAAGTTACATGTTAGAATGTTGTGATGTGTTTGAATTGAAATAGAATTTTAAGATTATTTATTATCCTCTTCTGATTTGACCTGTGGTAATAATATCTTCCATATTTCTGGTATTTGCATTGAGTCATTTCTGTTGCATGTGTTAAGTGTAGTAGACTCGATGAATAAGGATTCCGTAATCAACCTCCCTCTCCACCTACGTATATTACTTTTTAGAATCTTGACCCTATCCCACCCTATTGTGTGGTTGTTTGTTGATGCGTGAAGTGCAATAGCTGAGCCTTTTTCTAAATTACTTATCTTTCCAGGGCCAACCATTCTTCCCTTAGCTAAATTCTTATGTTCTGATAATCTGACTATCCCCGACGTACTAGTTTGACCTATGAAGTTGACGTCACAGTCATTGCAGGGTATTTTGTAAATTATATTGTTTTGTCCAATTGGGTCCACCGCGTCCTTTAACCTATAGAGCTCGTTCCCTGAGTGAGTTTGTAGGTTTAAATGCCGCTCTAATTCCTGTTTTATTAAGAATCCTACGTAGGGTCTCACATGTCCCCTCCTTATATGGTATAACAGTAGACGACTTATATTCTCTCTTATTTATTTACTAGTTTCACAATTATTTTTGTTTTGCTTTTGGCCTTTTCTGATCTTCCTAATGACTTATATTCTCTCTTATTTATTTACTAGTTTCACAATTATTTTTGTTTTGCTTTTGGCCT